CTACCTCCCCTGTGGTCGTCCGTTGGCGAGTCCTCGAGCCGACCCCGCCGTGGCGGCCGATACCGCCCGCCGCCTTGGTCGGTCCCCTTCCCCTCCGAGGCAGCCCGGGCGCGGGGGCACCGGGCGCGGACAGGCACCCTGGCCGGCCTCGGTGTTTCAGCCATTCCGCGGTCCGCTCGCTCGGGCGCGATCAACTCCAGGGCCTGTGTTTGTGAGTCTAAGAAGCAGTTTGTCTTTCTCCACAATTGGGTTTATTACCAACAAAATGGAAATCGAAGTTTTCCTGGAAAGGGAACACACCAAATAATAATAACCCCCAGCGTAGGAACAGTGGACTTTGAGTCTGCTTTGAGATGGCTGAGGATGATGGAAGTCTGTAAGGAGTCGAGGTAAGGCTCCAGTCTTTGAAATAGCTGAGTGGATGCTCAGGAGAGAAGTTGAAGTACTCTGTCGAAGTGACTAATGCTTCTTTGTACATAAAGTAATTTAAAAAGCAGGATTGATTTCTCCTTGGCGTCTCTGTGAGCAGTAGGCGCTGTGAGTCAGGGAGCCTGCTGTGCTAATAACACAATTAACTCCTTACATCTGCTCACCCGATGTGAGCACATGTTGATGATGCGCTGTCCATACTCAGGGAACAGTTATTATGCCCATTTTACAGATGAGGAAACCGAGGTTTGAAGTAGTTGGTTTGACTTCTCCCAGGTTGGGCAGCTGATGAGCGTTTCTAGAAGGACCCTGCCCTGATGCGCAGAGTGAAAGCCACAGCCTGACAGTGGGCATGGGGGCAGGGGTGGATAAGTGAACCAGAGTTCCTGAATCTGTGTCCCCTGCTGCTGAGCTTTGTGTCTTCCAAACAGTCCTTCTCATGACCCAAAGACTTCTGCTGGGTGGGTCTAGAGATCTTGCTTTTCTGTATGGGATTGGTGAGAAGTGGAAAGGGGAAAGACTGTCCCTGGTGGCATGGGTCAGTGGTTTTACTGCACCTCATTCCAGGTAAGTTTCTGGAGTCCTTTTATTCAGTGAATTTTATCTATGGGGTCTGTCAAGTGTTTGGAGGAACCAGAGGCAAGCCAAGAGGAATTTTTAGCAGGGAGGTGTGAGAACT